TGAATAATAATGGGTGTGTGGGGTCTCTTTTATTCATTCCATCGATTGCAGTATGTACGTGGAGTACAACTACTTAAGCATATTTTTTTAGTGGTGTCAATACTAGAAATATAGTTTGCTTTTAACCGTAAAGCTTGAAAGCCTTGAACACATTTCGTTAGTTCAGGCTTGAGAGAAGCCGCCTTTTCTCAACGATTCAAACTGCGCGCCAAAACGACGCAGTTCCTCGTTTCTCCGCAGGATGGCGCGGGCACCTCGCTTCTTGTAGTGCGTGTGGTTTGGTAGCACTGCGCCTCAGCTGATCGATAAAAACAACATTGCACGACTAGGTTATCTCGCTCAACACTGTTACCGGCTTTCTGTCCAAGTCACTAACAGACTTGTCGAGCCGTTTTCTCAACGAAGAACAATCTGAGAGAAGTCCCTCTTTTCGAGTTCCCGTTTTACGAAATCCATGGCGAGGCTTGGGAGACTTATCGCCGTGGGCTTGGGTGCTGTTGGTGCAGGGGTGCTGTACTATTCCAACGATGACAATAGAGTCCTGCCTGTGCTGCATGCTGCTATGAAATCAGATCTGCAGCCGGCACCTTCCACTAAATGGGACTGGAACTGGGACAAGTAATTTGCTTCTCTCCCTCCTATCATCATGTTAAATGTCCCTGTTCTGTCGTTGTGATGTGTTTGTGATTTGTGATTGTCTTGCTTCCAGGAGAGAACCTGCCTTTTTAGTGCGGCCCTCGGATGGAGGTGAAGATGACATTCGATTTAAAAACGAAGTGGAAAGCGCCAGGCCTACAGCAACTAGACACCTTCTTCTGATCAGGCATGGCCAATACAATATGGAAGGGAAAACTGACAGGGAGCGAGTGTTAACAGATATAGGTGATGAGTCCAAGAGTTTGTTGTTGCGTGTCAGCCTCTTACTTGGGGTTCTCTGTCTTCATTTATTTTTATTTTTTTACAGGTATTGAACAAGCTAAGGTCACTGGGGACAGACTTGTTGCCCTGAACTTCCCTTATCAGACTATGATTAGATCGACTATGACTAGGGCTCAGCAGACTGGAGACTACATTCTAACTCGTATGAAGCCTGGTTCTGTAGCTATTAAAGACGATAAACTCCTTGAGGAAGGCTCACCATATCCAACTGAGCCATCCCATGGCTGGAAACCAGAAGTCAATGTGTGTATACTTTCTCCTACCCTACCGTAGGATTTTTGTTCTTATATTTTAGATAATTTAATTTCGAATTATTTCCCCTTTTTAGGTTTTTCAAGCAGGGTCTCGCATTGAAGCAGCATTCCGTAATTATTTTTACAGAGCTTCTAATCGTCAAAAGGAAGATTCATTTGAAATAATTGTCTGTCATGCAAATGTGATCAGATATTTTGCTTGCAGGTCGGTTTTTAGTGCTGTCCGTCAAATTTTAAATACTGCTGTATTGATGTATAATCTTATATAACAATGATTTTGTTTAACAGAGCACTGCAGCTTCCGCCAGAGGCATGGCTTCGCTTGTCTTTAAACCATGCAAGCATAACTTGGATAAGTATTCGACCTAATGGGTTGGTTGGCTTACAATACCTTGGAGATTCTGGGCATTTACCACTCGAACTCCTTACCCGATAAGAGTAGCTAAACTATCTTCCCTTCTCCTTCAAATTGTGAAGTTGTATGTTTTCAATGAAAAATCAATTCTGTATCAGGCGTATCATCAGGGCAATCTAGTCCAAAATTTATATGTATTTTATAGTCCCATCTATTTCTATGATCAAATGTGTTTTGTTGTTTTTTATTGCCTGTTTTATAAAAACATGTTACCATCTATTTTGTTACATAGAATAAGAATGAATTCCAAGTACCGTAATTACTATTAAAAGTAGAAACTTTATTCATTTTTTGTACTTATTTTATGCATGTTGTAGCAGTTCTTAAATGCTATAAATCCCAAAAGAAAGTTGCACACACATGAACACGAACATAGTCTACATACATCAGTTTTCATTAAGTCTATACATTTAATTATCTGCCGGCTTTTCCCTCTTCACTTGAGCCCCGACCTCCTGGACCATTGTCTCGACCAGCTGGCTGAGATTGCACTGGTGCCGCCATCCCCAGTCTGCTCGTGCTTCGCTGTCGTCGAACACCTGCGGCCACGAATCCGCTGTAAAGGGAAGACCTCGCATTAAAACTTTGCCGTCAGACAGACGCGACGTGGCTGCTGGGCAGCCACGCGGCGCCAAGAAAGCAACAACGGTACACTCCTCCTCAGAGCGCGCGCCACCACCCGCGGGGTATCGCCGCGCGCCGCGCCCATACTCTTACCGATGAGCTGCCGGCTGTCGGGGCGGTAGGTGACCTCGAGCTCCGGCACGTACTTGCGCAGCTCCCCGGCGAGCTCCTCCGGCGTGAAGCTCATGGCGGTCACGTTGTAGACGCGGCGGTGCAGCCGGTCCGTGGGCGCCGTCATGAACTCCCACAGGGAGCGCAGGCAGTCGCTGATGTGCATCATGGGCAGGCGCGTGTCCGGGCGCAGGTAGCACTCGAAGCGGCCCGTGCGCAGCGCCTCGTAGAACATGAACACGGCGTAGTCTGCGGCGGCCAGAGCCCAGAGTTAGATCCAATATGGTTGCCACCTGACCGCGGCGCGGCTCCGCCTTAGCCCCGTGCGGTTGGGCAGCCCGCCCGCATACGGCTTCATGAGAGTGGACGGTTCTCGCACCCCAGGGTGTCATCGAGAGAGGAACGTCCGTCAATCGCCGTTGCGAACCGAACCTGTCAAGCTCTCGTAGCGCCTGGTAGGCAGGCAACAGCCCGCCTACGATGCATGCGTGTCCGGCGGGGTGGCCTACCCTAAGTCTCGCAGGCGCCGAGCTCCCAGTAAACTTTCAGGATGAATCTCTTAGAAACACGGGCGTACTTTCTGGACGATCCATCCACAATACGACCCACGTGTAACCGACTTCTAGAACTCCGTCGGCGGAACGCTTGCTTACCCCCTAGGCATACTTCACTCAAAACAGTCAGAGCGCAGCCTCCAAAAAAATAGGGGGGAAAACGGGGAAAGTCCAGTAAAACCCAATTAAAAATAAGAAAAAATCAGAAACAAACAAGAAAGAATTTTTAAAAATTATTGGCGTACGCTGGAATTTACAGTGAAGTACCCCTCACGCTTTTTCGCGATCGATCGCTTCTCCGGTAAGGAAGAGTTTGCACTGTTCACTCACCAGTAGTGCCGCCACCCGGCGGGTCCGAAGAGATGACGCCCGGGAAGCGCAGGCAGCGGAAGTCGAGGCCAAAGCGGTGGTGGTAGTACTCCCCGAGGAGTTCGGCGTGCACCTTGCTCACGCCGTAAATGGTCCGCGGCCGCTGCACCGTCACGTTGGGAGTCGGGTTGCGCGGCGAGTCCGGCCCGAAGGAGCCGATGGTGGACGGGACAAAGAGGCGCAGCTTGTACTGCTTGGCCAGCTCAATGACGTTGTGCACGCCTGTAAACCGGGAGGCCGGGCGTTACTGACAGCCCCGACGACGACGCCCACCTGCCGACGGCGGTCTTTGGCCGCCCCCGGCGCGCCGCTGCTCACCTTCGATGTTGACCCTGACGGCCAGGGGCACATTCTGCTCGCCCACGGCGCTGAGCAGCGCGCTGAAGTGGATGATCCAGTCCACGCGGTGCGTCACCACGATCTCCTGGAGGCCCTTGAAGTCCAGAATGTCGGCGAAGATGTAGGGCCCCTCCTCGGCCACGTCGCGCGAGGCCTTGATGATGTCCGACATGAGCACGCTGTCCTGGCCGTACACCCGGCGGAGGAAGCGCGCCATCTCGAGGCCCAGCTGGCCGAGGCTGCCTGGAGCAGTACACGGTGAGCGCCTCGGACACCACAGGATGAGACGACGAGGGGTACTTCACTTCCAAATTCAAGAATACACCTTTTTCGTGATTTTATTTGAATTTTCTGATTATTTTTTCTGATTTTTCTATTTACTTTTTCCTCATTTTCCCTTGAGTTTTCGTTCTGACATTTTCGTGTTTTTTGGAGGGTGTAGCCTGATTTTGCTGAGTGAAGTACCCCTCGGGCGACGACGTCCACCTCGCACCCTGGTCGCACTCACCCGTGATGAGGATCTTGGGCGGGCCCTGGCTGTCCGTCGGGCTGCTGGCCGTGCTGCGGTGCCGCCGGTGCTGCTCGCCGCCCAGCTCGGAGGCGGCGGGTGCGAGGCGGCGCGTCGCCGTCATCCGGGACGACGCCTCACCGGGGCAGGACGGCGCCGGGGCCGCCGCCGCCAGCCCGCGCACCGCGCGCACCGCCCGACTCAACATGGCGGCGCTGCAACAACTATGCAAGTTTCGTCAACACGTTGGAGCGTTTTGCGTCCGGGACCGGTCGTGACTGTTCTGTCGTGATCGGAGACATGAAAAACATTTTCAAGCGTTCGACACGTCTTACCGACCAAACTGGCACCTTTGACGTACTGCAAAAAGATAAATATATATCACTATCGCGCGGCCTTTTCACCCCGTTGGAGCGAATGAGTATACTAGCCCGCATGCTATAGGATTTGCCTAGCGAATCTTACCACAGCCACAGCGCCTCGACTAACCCGACCGCATACTCCTGGATCCGGGCTGGCAGTAGACTCATTCGCTCGTAAGGGGCAAAAGGATCACACCCTTTCGAGTACCCTGACAGCTGACTGTGACATCTACACGGTCGAATAAAAATAACTATGGGTGAGCCCATTTTAACAAGAGCGCGTGTAGCACCGTGCCCGCGGGCCGCAAACCGCATGCCGCACCTGTTTGAATTACAAAACTTTGTGCAGGCCGCGTGGCTGGCCGTGAAGGCGATGCAAATTTGCTTGCTAGTGTGGTTCGACAGGGGAAAAGACGGGGGGG